CCGAGTCGCGCCCCCGCGCCGAGTCCGCGCGTCAGTCGGTCCCCAGTGCGGCTGCGGGGCGACAGGCTGCAGACAGCGGGGCGCGCGGCCCGGGGGAGGTGACGGTGTCGCGGGAGGAGCGTCGGAGCCCGGAGACTCGCACAACGCCATGGCCCCCATTGGCCTTAAGGCGGTGGTCGGAGAGAGTAAGTGGCATCGGGGTGCTGGCCGGTGGGACCCGTTTTCCAGGCGTCGCCCTCCCAGGAGGGAAGCCCCTCTGGCTTCCTGCTGCCAGCAGGCTTCCCTGACTCACGCTTCTCCCCCGATCCGCTCTTCACTTCGGTCCTCCTCACCCTAGACACCTCCTCAGTCTCTATACCTCCATCTCATTTTCATCCCGTCCCTCCTCCTCCACCTCACACCTCGCCTTCATAAACATCCCGTTTTCCTTTTTATCTCCATCACGCCATCTCTCCTTCATCCCATCCCGTCCCCTCTCTCTCTCTGCCTCTTCACCCCAGACCACGTCTCTCCCTCCCCCATCCGCACCTTTATCCCCTCCAGCCCGTTAGCCTCCTCTGCAGCATCACCCTTCTGCACCCAACTCTTCTCCACTCATTCCTTTTCTCCCGTCTCCCTTCCTTGCTTTCTGCATTTTCAGAGCTCCTGATTCCGCTCCCCCCCCCCTTTTTCCCCTGTCTCCAATCCCTCCCTCTTTCCCACCCTCCCTCGTGAATCGTGACGAACGAAGCCCTGCCTGTGTCCTCCTCCCTCCCTGCCTCCCTCTCCGGAGAGCAGGGCGCTGTCCCCGGCTGCAGAGACCCACCTGGGAGCTGCTGGGCGCTCGCCGCCGGGGCTACTCCTGCCAGCTGGGGAGGGGACGCAGGGTTTTCCTGCGGCGCTGCTCCGGTGGGCTGGGGCCGCGGGGTTCTCTCCGCCTCCCTTTCCCGGGGCTGGACTTCAAGGGCGGGGTCTTAGCGGGGTCCGGAACCCTTCGAAATCCGGAGGGAGAAGGGGAGCTTCAGAGTGTCGCGGGAGGAGTGGCCCCGCCAGCGCCGCAGTCTGCAGTCTAGCTGCTTGCGCTGCTTGCGGGACTCGGCCCCAGGCGTCGCTGCGGAAAAGATATGGTTGTTTATGGGTTTGCATGAAAGGCCCAGCAGACATTTTTCAATTTATTTTTTACTTATTTTTTATTGAACGGTGAGCGTCGACGTGAGAGTAGGTTGTGGGTATTTAAAAACGGCGTTCTCAAATAAGATGGGTGATCTAGGTAGAAAATAGTGCCTCTTCAATATTTTGGCACATTTTTATAATGAAAACGTGTGAGGGTTGTGTGGCTTTCACTATGTCTTTTTAGAGTTAGAGAAAATGAAAGTGCCTTTTCCCTGTAGGAGAGGTGGAAATTTACAGTTTCCTTCTTCAGTGAGCCTCTCTTAGGATAGCTTGCTCCCCCCCCCCCAACAAATGCAGCATAACTGTTGAGCAGCGCAGCTGCCCTTCCCCTTGTTTTTTGAGTGGTATATGGACAGCACTCTTGGTGGAATCTAGCCGTGTACAGCGTTTTCTGCTTGGATATATCAGAAGAAATTGTTATAAAAACAAAACCTAAAGTGGACATTTTTTTAAAAAAAAAAATGCTCACACTAGCACCCATGCTTTAAAGGTTACTTGAACTGTTTGCGGAGGGAAATCAGTGTTTAAGACTGGGAGGATCCATAGGGATTTGCTAATGTCAACATCTTCATTTTCACCCATGGGAAAGATATTGAGGCTTGGAGCAGTTAAATGACTTGGTGAAATCATTGCTAATTAATTTTTTTTAAACCTGGTATCCATTTTCTTGCAACTTAAGTAAAAAATAATTCCCTTGCTTTCTGTGTACATAGTTTCCTCTTAATACCTCCTTTTCAAGGGTTAGAGGTGTGGGGTGGAATGTCAAGCCTCACTCCGTCCAGGTGTTATATTTGAATACTAATTCAAAAATAAAATACTTATTATAGAACACCCCCCCCCCCAAGACGGAGTCTCTGTAGTCCAAGCTACTGGCCAGAAGACACTGTGTAACCTCCACTGGCTTTAAATTTATCTTAATCCTCCTGCCTCAGCTTCACAAATGTTGAGCTTATTGGTGTGTGTCACCCCGTCCATCTTTTTGTGTTTATTTGTTTATTCGAGACAAGGTCTCATTTTGTAGCCCTGGCTAGCCTCGTACTTGCCATCCAGTGCGAGCTGGCTTTGAATTCATGGTAATCCTCCTGCTTCAGTCTACCAAAATGCTGAGAATACAGGCTTGCACCACCATACCCAGCTCAGAAGTAGGGTCTTTGCATCCTTCTGCCAAGACCCCTAATTATGTAGATGTCACCATAACCCTTGTCTCTTTTAGAAGTAAGCGTCAAGGTAAAAAAAATAGTATGCAATATGGCCAGAATTTCTTTCGAAACAAAGTGAAACTGTGGTGTACAAAAATAAACGCAGTTTTACAAAAAAAAACTTGTGAATGTGTGAACAGGCTTCTATTTCTGTGACAATCGAGTTAGGCGTGTGCTTTAGGAAAATGCATCTTGAATCCTATTTAAATGCTACCTCCTAATTTTTGGTGGGGTTTCTACTTAGACTTTTTTTCTTCCAACAAGAGTGAAATAAAGATGCTTTTTTCTTTTTAGCAGTCCAGAGAACAGAGACTAACGTAGCCCAGGTGAACCTGGGCAGCTGAGGATGAGCTAAGCCTCAGCTTCAGCCTCTGGAGGGTTTCTTTCTAAGCAATGTTGAGGATTGAACCCCAAGGCGTCTACCTTCTACTCTACATCTACACCTAAAGCGGCGGGGGGCCCCGGCCCCGAATGTTTCCCTATGTAGCTTTGGAGCCTGTCCTGGAACTCACTCTATAGACCAGGCTGGTCTCAAACTCACAGAGATTCACCTGCCTCTGCCTCCCAAGTGCTGGGATTAAAGGCGTCCACCGCCGCCCAGATCAGAGAGAGGCATTTTCTTAATCGAGACCTCCTCCTCTCTGATGGCTCCAGCTTGGGCCGCGTTGACAGAAGACTAGCCAGCAACATCACTGTCAGCTGTTCATAAGTAAAAAATGATCTTGCTTGTTTTTCTTCGTTTTGCTTTGGGGAGGCCCACATTTGCTGAATGAACGATGTCATTTAGGATATGAATAAAAGGAAACAAATGTAGCCAGGCAGTGGTAGCACAGGCCTTGAATCCCAGCTCTTGGGAGGCAGAGGCAGGTGGATTTCTGTGAGTTCGAGACCAGCCTGGTCTACAGAGTGAGTTCCAGGACTGTTTCACAGAGAAACGCTGTCTCAAAAACAAAACAAGAAAGAAAGAAAGAAGGAAGGAAGGAAGGAAGGAAGGAAGGAAGGAAGGAAGGAAGAAAGAAAGAAAAGAAAGAAAAGATCAAAGTAAACAAATGTAGTTTGACCCTTGCCTTCCCCTGTAGTCTGCCCCAATCTAACACACTTGTGTTATACCAGTCCCAGTGCCCTCCTAGTCCCTTCAGAGTTGAGCATCTTCGGTTAGCCCACAGCTGTAGGCGGAAGAGGGTAATGGGTCGACTTGGTAACTTATTCTACAGACATTTGTTTAGAGCTTGCTAGGAGCTATGGGCATTTCAAGCTGGAAACTGAATAAAACATGGGTCTGTGCCAAGCAAGCATGGTGGCGCACACCTTTAGTTCCTGTACTTGGGAGACAGAGACAGGCAGATCTCTGCAAGTTTCAGGCCAGCCGGGGCTACATAGTGAGACCCTGTCTCAGAAACAAACAACAAACCTCTGAAACCAAAACCACAGCAAAATAGTTACGCGATTGTGACAGACGGCCCTCCGGGAAGCTTTGTTCCTTCCCCAGCACTTCAGGGTTCTCTCATTGTATTGCACTTGTGTGTGTTGGTCTTGCCCAACCAGTCTGTGAGTTTCTTCAGGGGAGAGTATAGGTGTCTTGTTCTTATGTCTGTCCTCAGTGCATGATTTGGGGCTGGCACCCAGTTAGTACTGCACCAGTAACCAATGAGAAAGAAAACAGACTTAGTAGCTAGAATTATGGGGAAAATTCAGACCTGTACCTGCTGGGATTATGGGTTCTTGTGCCCGTGTGCCAGCTTTTTACTGGGAATAAGCTCAGGTCCTGCTTGCCCAACAAGGGTTTGCTAGCTGAGCCATCCCCTGAATCTATAGGGCCATTTATTTACTTATTTACTTACTTACTTATTTTTCTACTTATTTGTTTGTTTCAGGACTTTAATTTTAGAAATACCTTTATTTACTTGTTTGGGGGCAAGTGTGCTGTAGAGGCTTGTAGAGGTCAGAGGGCTTTCAGGAATCATTCCTTTCTTTCACCATGTGAGTCCCGGGGATCTGACCCAGGTCAGGAATGGCTGCAAATACCCTGATCCACTGAGCCATCTTACTAACCCAGGGCTATAGTTTTCAGTTTTTTAAAAAATTATTTATGTTTATTTCATATGCATTCATATTTTGCCTGCTTGTTTGTCTTTGTGAATGTGTCGAATTCCCTAGAACTAGAGTTACAGGCAGTTATGACAGTTGCCATGTGGTTGCTGGGAATTGAACCTGGGTTCTCTGGAAGAGCAGCCAGTGCTCTCAACCTCTGAGGGATCTCTCCAGCCCCCTTTAACTTTTATTTTTAAGATTTGTTTTTTTGTGCCTGAGTGTATAGGTACCGGTGGGATCCTGAGAGGGTGTCAGATCCTCTGGAGCTAAATTACAACTGGTTGTGAGTCACCAGATGTGGACACTGGGAATCAAATGCAGGTTCTATGGAAGATCCTGTGTCAATAAACAGATAGACAAACGAACAAACAAAAAATTCCAGCAGGAGGAATTTTTTCCTGTAAGTTCAAGGCCAGCAGCCTTGTCTACAAAGTAAGTTCCAGGTTCCAGGATAACCAAGCTGCTACATGAGAAACCCTATCATCAAAAAAAAAAAAAAAAAAAAAGAAGGAAGGAAAGAAAAAAGAAAAAAATTTTAAAAAAAGAACAAAACCCCCAGCAAATGCAAATTATAAATTTGCTCATACTGTTCCCTTTGGACAGTTTATTCTCCCTTTCTCAGGTCCTGGCAACCACTGAACTTTTCCCATTACCTTTAGTTTTGCTTCTTCTAGAATACCATGTCAATGGGAAATAATATGTAGCTCTTTTTCTTTTGTCTTGTTTTTTAAGACAGGGTTTCTCTGTGTAGCCCTGACTGTCCTGGAACTTACTATATAGACAAAATGGCCTTGAACACACAGAGATCCTCCTGCCTCTGCCTCCAGTATGGGTACTGAAGGTGCGTGCCACCTCACCCAGCTTTTAAAATGTGATTTCTGGGACTGGATGGCTCAGTGGGTAAACTGTGTGCGGTGCAAACATGAGGACCTGAGCTCAGATCCCAGCACCCGGGTGAAAGTGCCAGGCGTGGTCATGTGCGTCTGTAACCCTAGCTCGAAGGGAGTGGGTAGAGGAGACATTCGGATCCCTGGACCACACTGGCCAGGCAGTCTACAAATCTGAGCTGTAGGTACAGAGACTGTTCCATGAGTTAAGGGGGACAGCAATAGCAGGAGACACCAGTGTTGGCCTCTGGGCTCCAGGTGTTCATACAAACGTGTATTTTCACACACATACACAAACATGCATACACAACATATATACATTTTTTATTTTTATTTTTTTTTTGTTTTTCAAGACACGGTTTCTCTGTAGCTTTGGAGCCTGTCCTGGAACTAGCTCTGTAGACCAGGCTGGCCTCGAACTCACAGAGATCCACCTGCCTCTGCCTCCCGAGTGCTGGTATTAAAGGCGTGTGCCACCACCGCCTGGTCCATATATACATTTTAAAAAGCTTTCTTTCACCCAGTGTGGTAGTAGTACATGCTGGCAATCTCAACACTAGGGTACAGAGGCAGGAGGATTGCAGCAAGTTCTAGGCTACACTAAACTGCGTTTTCACGCAGTTCAAGGCCATCCAGGGCCACGCGAGACCTGTCGCAACTTCCCCTGTAGTAACTTCCCTGTCTTCCCTAAGTGACTTCCTTCCCGGAGTGTATTGCCTTTACTGCTGTGTTGTATGTTTGGAGTTTGGCTTTTCATCACTGACTACTGCTCTGTCACGTGGATGCCCTCTATCCCCCA